TATATTTTTAAGTCTTCCTTTAAGAAATTCTCGCTATTTCTGTTTTCAGGTTGCTGGATATCTGAGGCGAGAGGGAATGTCACATGGCGAGGGAGATGAAAGCCATAACATGCTGTTGCAAGAGATCTTTCACGAGGAGGACAAAAATAAGGATGGTTTTATTTCACACGAAGAATTCCAGGGAATTAAACATCATGAACTTTAGATACTTTTTTTTCAAAACATGTTTCAGTCGTAAACATCCCTAAATATAACATCTTACATAGAGTAAGGTTGTTGTGTGGCTCATACAAGTTTTTTCTTTGTTTGAGCACTGACTTGATGTTATTACAATTAAGTGAATTTTAATAAAGATCTACAGTTTCTCGTATACCCAGTTATGTCCTTCGTGTGTTCTTTTCATCAAAACGGTAATATTTTGAACCCAGAGAAAAAAAGGGGACAGAGAGGGCGAATCAGATCGTTAGAGGATATGGGAGGCGTTTATTGGAAGGAGGGCGCTGAATCGAGGGGGATGAATATTTATCTCCTGCATGTAATGATTCCTGTGTAATTGTGGGTTGAAAAGATTTTAACAAGGCGGCAATAAAAACCAGGGTTTCCTTGCATCCCTACTATTTAAGAAAGTGAGGGAAGAGGGGGTATTTACCTCTTCCCGTTTTCAGGAAGTTTTCATGGCGTCCAACTTTTCATGGTATCCAACATTATGGTAAGAGAAGTGAAAATGTTATGACAATAGCGGATCACGTTGAATTCTATTGAATATTCAAAATGTCTCTCTCAGGAGTAATGTACAGACGCGAGGGAAGGCTGACAGCTCTTGTATTTTGGACCGAGTATAGGCATTAAATGTGTTGAAGGTACTTCAAATATCAGAGTCAACCTCGTTTCTAGCAATAATGTGGCATAATATTTGCGAACACGGGCCATAATTGTGATAAGTAGAGAAATGCCTTCCGGCCGCTGGTGTGTCGGCTGACGTCATGTCCACGGCTGGGATATTGCTTGAAAAAATTAATATTTGATCAGTTATTTATTGTCACCACCGCTTGACTCTTCAAGTAAAGCAATAAAAACGAAAAGTGAAACTTTGACTTTGCTACTTTTTAACGGAAATAATTGGGGGACATGAACGTGAACGGGGGCTGTGGCGCGGTAACTGTCTGGTAATTTTGAACACTTTGCATAAAGTCCATTTTGTCAAGACATTTGTATCCTGCATACATGACAGGCTATCTTGTCGTTCCAGACCCCTTGCTACCACTTCCTTCTCGCGCGAATTATCAAACATGGCTGAGACAGGCATAATCTCGTACTTTACGCCGAACAGATAACACATTCACCGACATCTTAGGGGAGATCTACCTTCTCGATCGAGGACTTTGTAATAAAGTAATACAGGTGAGCTCAAAGGTTTTACAATTTACATTTCGTGTTTTCTAAGATGTTACAGTGGCTCATGTTAATACATTTACAGAGCTACTTTCTTTATTTCAAGAATGGCTTCCGCAGAAGGTGACGTTCCTGCTGAAATGCAAGACAGGGGAAAGTGGTATGGAGATGCTGTGGATTACTGGAAAGTAAGTACAGCCATTTAGCTCATAAACCTAACACCTCATAAACCTAACCTGTTGCTACACAATTACATATCAATACAATTAGTAAAGGTAATCACATGATTTCGAGAGCAACTTGGAAGAAATAAGCACGAGTAAATGCTACTTTTAAATCAACTTTGCATCCCCTTTTTTTGCTCTTCAGAATTGTATTTTCCTCTTCCCATCTATCATTTCTTGTGTAACAGTGTTAAAACACTTGGCAGCCATTCATGAAGGGTAGCACCCCTGCTATAATCACCTTGCAGTGAGGTGATTATGGTGAGATATGATGCAATCCTTGACCAATCAAAGTGCAGGCATCTCTAGAATCAGTGGAGCAATAATACTTACAATATATATTCTCTCTCGCTCTCTTTCTTGTTTTTGACCAATCAAAGTGCAGGCATCTCTGGAATCAGTGGAGCAATAATACTTACCATATATATCCTCTCTCGCTCTCTTTCTTGTTTTTTTATTTTCACTTTATTGCACCATACTTCCAAGTAAATAAAGAAGGTGCCAAATGGTTTATAAATGAGGTGTGATTAACAGAAAGGCCAGCATGATTCATGAATTTATGTACCCGCATGAGGCATGATTTGCCTCCTGAAATTATATGCTAGACTTATCAATTTTTCTTTTCACTTTGTGAAAACCTTAAGATTTCCAAGAAACTTTGTTCACAGAACAATTATTTGAAGTCTTCTCTTCTATACACATGACATACGAGTTTACTAAACTCTGTGCATGAATTGTGAGCAAGACCCCCCCCCCTTTGCTATTCTTAGTACACAAGAAGAAATATTTGATTGAAGTATTCTCTTTTATGTACATGACACGTGAATTTTCTAAATTCAGAGTGCGATCTAAACCCCCCTTAGCTACTCTTAGATAAAATAAGTTTTCGGCTCTAATAAGTTTCTACTGCACAATTGATTTGTCACTGTTACCTTTAAACTGTTATAATTATAACATTTGCGAGATGAAGCTCATCATGTGAAAGCCTTCTTGTTACTCATGGGTGTACCTTGTCATCTCTAGTCAATTTTTTTTCTTTATACTTGTAGCTTGGTAATTAAATGTTTGGTGAAAAAAAATTTTTTTTTTTATTTTTGTGTTAAGAGTGTTCCTGCAACAGTGAATGGAATGTTAGGAGGTTACGGTCACATCTCACCAACAGACATCAAAGATTCAAAGAGGTTTCTGAAGAATTTTCTGGATGTAAGTTGTATTTAATCCTCCACTACTTTGATTAATTTTTGAGTCAAGTTTTCTGTATACCATATTTCCTTGAAGAAGTGCGCCCTCGGTCACTCCTCTAAATTAGTTTCTATCCCCCAGGCCATAATTTCAAACAAGCACTTCCCTCAAATAACTGCCCCCCCCCTTCCTTTCTTGTTTTCTTAACCCTTTAACTCCCAAGATGTAAGTGTGAATTCTCCCCTCTGGCAGTTACACATTTCCTTGTAAATTTGTTGCGAGAATTTGATGTTAGATCAAGATAACAACTTCCATCTGATAAGTTTCAGTATTCTCATTACCTGTTTGTTGGACAGTGTGTGGATATTATAGGAAGAACTTATATGTTAATCATATTTGGGAGTCGAAAGGTTAAATAGTGGGGATGCAAGAAGGACCTGTTTCTATAGCCACAACCTTCCAATAAATGCCTCCCCTTTAAGCTGAAGCTTTGAAAACCATCAGGTTGGTGTTTATTGGAGTGTAGTGCTTAATGAAGGAAATATGGTAACCCCATACTTCATTATGTATGTGTTTCTAAGTGGGTATTTAATCAGATATATCTACATGTCAATTTGTGTCCTAGAAACATTGATTATTATTATTATTATTATTATTATTATTATTATTATTATTATTATTATTATTATTATTATTTCAAAGATCAGGGAAAATGGTGATAAAATCAATAGATTACCCTTGGGATTAAGGCCTTGCTTATGAATTCAGGGGTTACCTATATGAAAGCCTTTCCATTTTTAAAACTTAACACTCTTTTAAAACCTAACACTTTTTAGCACCAAGTTCTGAGAACAAATTTACAAGAAAATGTGTAGCAGCTAGAGGGGAGAATTAACAGTCAGATCTTGGGAGTTAAAGGGTTAACTTAATTTAATTCCTTTTGAAAAAGCAAAACTTGTAAACAATAAATTCTGGAACAAGTTATTTTGAATGAATAATATCATATTATAAAATTCATCACATCAAGAAAAACAACTTTTGGTATCATGGTTATATACTTAGAAAATTATATTCTGACAGTTGCCTTCTTTCCTTTTCGAAGCTGTCAGATAAACAGGATGAGAATAAACCTTCCAAGATGAGGCGTATTGAACCCTTAACAACAGAGGACACCTCTACAACCCAAAAAATAAAACCATTTACAGCCCTTGGTGAGTGGGCTCAGTATTCCTTTCAATAATGCCTGTCAATTCTTAGATTACTGCTTCCTACACTATTAGGATAACATTTCTGCTTACCCTTAAACTTGTTTAACTTCTCCCCATAATGCACATATACATTTATTCTATCCAGATCTATCGCTCTGACGAAGGGCTAACGCTGGAAACGTCAGCTTTTTTACCCTTTACAGTGGCTAATTTACATTTTCGACTCAGTTGTTAACACTTAATTACCTGCTATACTCTCCCACCAACGCAGCACCACAGTTTCTTTAGAAACTTACCCCTTTATTTTATCCAGTAAACAATTAATAAGAATACTCAAACTTATCAGTTAGAAGTTGTTATCTTAATCTAACCCAGATTCTTGAAACTAATTTACAAAGAAATGTGTAGCAGCTAGAAGAGAGAATTAGGGATTGGATCGTGGGTTAAATGGCTGAAAGACAGATTTTCAATAATTTTGAAATGTAATAGTCAGATCTTTCCAGATATATGATACAAACAATGTTATATTTTTGTGAACATTTTGTTTAGACTGTGGTGCTGGAATTGGTCGTGTCACAAAGAACTTGCTCTTACCATTATTTAACACAGTGGACATGGTGGAGCAAAATGCCGATTTTCTAGAAGAAGCAAAAAATTATCTGGTAAGCAAAATGTACCAAGAAATACAACATAATGTTTTAGGTGGAAATGTGCGATTTTGATATTATTGCCATTTCCATTGTTACCCTGTTAACTAATTGTGCAGAATCTGATTTGTTTCATTGTAGGGAGATAAAAAGGATCGTATTGGACAATTTTATCCTCAAGGTCTGCAGGTGCGAATTTTATGCCTTAACCCCTTTGATCCATAAGATTGACTAGCATCTAATTTTTCTTTACAATATCACCCCTAACTAAAACATTGAGGTCAGGAGAATGAAGGGAAAGATTGCCAACCTAAGAAGCTCTTGATTGCTAGAACAAATTCTCCTTGTCAGTGCCTTGGGAAAAGTATAGAGAATAGTACGGAGAATATACATACTGATGTTAAGGTGTGAAGGATTAACAACCTACTTGATTGGTGTGGCTTCGAAAATTTCTTGTGGTCATGCAGTAGGAATATTTTGAATTATGATGAGAAAAATGCACCATCTTTTGCAGGATTTTAAACCTGAACCAGGACGCTACAGTATCATTTGGTGTCAGTGGGTACTCGGGCATTTGACAGATGGCGAGTATTATTCAATAATATGCAAGTTATATTTATAGATTTTCATCCCATCATTGTTGTGGTCATTGGTGCATGGCCATTGTCATGTGGCTATTGTCATATGAACATGGTTGAGTGTCACCACTGAGAAAGAACTGTAACCAATTGTCATCTACCTGTGCTTGAGAGTTTGTCAGTATATGTTACATTTTATTTCCTTTCTTTTCATTCTAGATTCTAGGTCGTTCTGGGTGAAAATGCATGGAAATGTTCTTAAGTGAAACAAATAAATATGAAATTGTGTTACAGTATACGTAGGGTTAGGTTTTTGAGAGTTACAAGGGAACCGTATTGCAACAAAACTCTCACCCTCCTTTGAAGCAAGGCTTCGAGCGTGATTTCACAAATTAACCAATCACGTCAAAGAGCTTTAACCTCGACATTGGTTAACTGACGTGGACATTTTTCGCGTATTTTCAGTTTGTTTTCGCAGAGTTTTAGCTGTTTTTGAGCTTTCGTTTCGTAAATTTGTTACCCCTTTGTTTGGAATGTTAAGAAGTTTCGGAGTTTTTAATTTTAGCCAAATGTAGGGCTTCATTTAACAAGTTTAATACATATTTTCTACAATATTTGGACTCTAGCCTCTTTTTTCGTAAATTGATTGTTTTACACTCTCTTTCATCTGCCGTCTAGAGACCATTGAAGGGCAACTTTGGTCAGGGCTGATGGTGCCATTTGGTTAGCTTATGACCACTCCATCTCCATCTTCTATGCTGAAGAAGCCAAAACAAAATTCAATTTATAAATGTTATAAAATGATTTTTAAGGAGTTATTGTAATCAAAGCATATTGGTTCCTTTCTTGTTTACCAGATGATTTTGTGGATTTTTTCAAGCAATGTAAGTCAGGACTCATGCCAGGTGGTTTAATATGCGTCAAGGAAAATGTTACAAAGGGTGGGGTTGACTTGGATGCTCAAGACAGCAGTGTAACCAGGTACCATAAAAGAGTTGTAGCTAAGAAATTAGGCTTCCGGCTTAAATTCTAAAAGAGGCTGTTGCTAAGCTTCTTGTTCACAAAGCAGTGGACGCCAGAAACGGAAAGAGGTCATGCACGATTCACGAGTGCTCAAAGCGATATTTTTTTTCAATTTTTCCCATTTGTTACTGTCACTAATGCTCAGGTTAATCAGGCATATATTTCAATCCTTTCAACTAGACGATAGCGCTCGATATTGAAGGATTGGAAATGTGTATCCTCAGAAGTGCCCATTGTGTTTTACAAAGCGATCAAAAATCCAGCCGGCAATTGCCGCTTTTTCATTGAGTAAATTTCGCAAGCAGATGGCACTCAGCTACAATATGTGGCAAAAGTCTTTGCTTTTGCATGCAAAATTGAGTTTAGGATCTCGGTGCAAAAGCCACATTTTCAAATAATTCGTGATTTTTATCTTTTCCCCTATTTCAGGTCTGATGAAAAGCTCAGAGAATTGTTCTCAAAGTCTTCACTGACTGTGATCAAGGACGAAGTACAGACGAACTTTCCCACAGAACTCTATGTTGTAAAAATGTAAGTTGTCTAGTCAATTCTGAGGTTATCTATAACTGTGCTCTCAGAATTGTAATATCACAATCTGTCTGGTTGGTGTGAAGTATTCACGGTGGTAGTGCCTGTACTTGAATTTTCTGCATATTTGAAGACATATCAAAACACGAGCAGTGCTACATGTCGGAGTGATGGATATGAAATTTATCTGGTTTCTGGGGCATACTCAGTCTTAAATTATGTTTCCTTATTCTTGCACTAACACAGTATATTTTACGTTACAGGTATGCCTTAAGACCATATGTCTGATACCAAGTTAGCCTTCAAGCGTTTATCTCCAAGAAGTCATAACTGCGCAATGAGTCCAAAACCAGTTGGAGACCAACGAAAGATCTGAATTACGACAACAAATTAGCACTCTCTGGCTCATAAATTTGATTATTCTCATCACCAACTTGCTTGATAATGTAGTGAAATCGTTGCGAGAAATTACGTATTTATCTTCTCTATGAAAAGGGCTAACAGCCATTAACACAATGCCAGATAGGTTTTTAGTTGATCGTGTTGTTTGATCCCCCGGGTCAGGGTAGTCTTAAAAAGGTCTGTTGTTGGGAGTAGCGACGGACTATTGGACAACCTGAGTGGAAGGCATCATCAGAGTCAGGATATACTCATGAGTTCTGTTCAGGTTGTCAAAACATCAGCCAACGCACCAACAACAATTTTTTCTAGTTCTATCACTTACACAGTCAGTCTTCACTGACTGTTAGTCTTGGGCTCAAGCTTGTCGCTTCGTGTTTGAGCTGGTTTTTCCTATGTTCTCTATTTTTTATTGTACATATGGAGTTGAAACCAAGAGCGAAGAGTTTTTTTTAATAAGTTGTTAATATTCACAGTCCATACGGTTTTGAAATGCAGCAAATAGTTATGTATTGATTTATTACTAAACCTGCAAGTAATATTTGTCTGATTGGATATCTTTTAACAGTGGTTGGTTGGGTTGGAAAGAGTTGGTGAAAACAGAGTAAGTCCCCAGCCCTCACAGATAATTTTATGGGAGGGATGTTCCTAATAGGATAGGAAAGACTAGGATGATTAGCGCGACTCTTCAAGGTTATCACTCAGAGATCATTCCGTTGGTTTTCAATATTCTTTTTTATTTTCAATAAAGCCCTTTTCGATTGAGTGTCGTAAAATCAAAACCAAAGTTATTACAACAGCTTATCAGAACACCGGAAAATATCACAAGGAGCCAATGAGAACTCAAGAATTTAATGTGACATATGAAGTCGGCTTTAAACGCGGGAAAGTGGGAACGATCTAGTCATGATTGGTATCAGGCCTCCATCTGATTGGCCAGACCAATCACAAGACGTAGCGAACGAAACCAATGCAATCCGAGACCAATCCCAACTTCCTTATGGTGCTCGATGGAAAATTACGTAACTTGATACTCAAAAGAAGTCTATTATTGTAAATATGTACAGGTGTTTATTGGAATTCGAAATGCCTAATATAATTCCAGAGTTAGATTTCTACGTTTTTCTTATCTTTAATCGCGGTACGACCTGTTGGATGATTCAAATACATTCTGCTATAATAGTCTTTTTGTACGTAGTCTTAGAGTGCAATGGTATTTAACGAGACACATTTAGGGCGAAAGCGAGGAACGCCATTGTGATAGCATAACTTTACAGAACTTATTAGGCTTGGTAACCTTTCACGAGATTTTGGCGGGAAATTATGGCTAGTTTAATGCCCGCGGCATAGTGTGGCGCGAAACAACGAGAATCATTTTCGCATGCGTCGCGTTTTGGCGGGAAATTTCATGCAGTACAAACGCTGCTTAAAACTGCTCACTGATATCAAAAAGGTCTGAAGAGTAAGCGAATCTTTAAGTCAATCACTTTTCTATTACTGCTGTATTCCTACTTGTATTCTTTCAACTATGAATAGAAGTTTTTCTCGGATTTATGGCCCAAGCGCGAACGAAATCCGAGCGGAAAAAACGAGGTTATGTAACTTACAGTACAGACCTCGAACTCGGAATGAGGTATGAGTAGCAGCTAATCGCAAATATGAATAATTGTTACAATATCAAATATTAACTTACACAAACAGGAATTTAACAACTAATAATTCCTTAACTTTTTCGCTCGGTGAGTAACTGTAAAGCGTTTGACATAGGCAGTTGCTGTGTTTTGTTCAATTTTTGTTTATTTTTTAATAATGATGTATTAGCGCTGTTCAAGGGGAAATCAAATTTATCCAAATTTCAAAGACTTTGGATTTTTATCGTAACTTCTGGTATTACATAATGTTGAGAGTGAACCATGGGATGATACCCAAATGGATAAAAAGAAAGGAAATTGGTTTCAAATGACTTAAATCATTCCAAGCCGGGGAAGAGTTAAACGAATTGTTAAAAGATGGGTCATCAAGATGAAAACAAGCTAACGAGTGCAAATTTAAAATTCTCAGAATAAAAGGTACTATTGGAGAAAAATGAATGATGGAGAAAGAGAGCTTCAAAAAGTAATTTGAATTATGTTTAATCGGTTTTAAGCATGTGGTTATGTTTTGGAACCATTTAGATCATGTGTGGTTGTTTAATACGTTATATATATATCTCCTAATTGACTTTTGTTCAAAGCGCCGTGAGCCGGCCAGCAGGCCTAAGGCTGCTGTTTTAAGATATCAGATTGTTTCAAATGTAATTTATGCGTAATGAAAGGAAGTGACAGAGAAAAAAACTAAAATCAATAGAACCAATTAAGACAAACTTATCTACTTGGAATCACATGGGAGAAAAACGTCATATTCACAGGACACAGACTAAAATGCAGTTAGCACTCTCTCATAACAAACAGATGGAAGATTTCTTTCGCACTGTTAACTTCTTGCAGAAGACATAAAGAAAGGTCGAAGAGTGACTGAAAAGATGAATTCCACCCTGAAGCCTCAAGAAAGCATGAATGCAAAGTGCATAGGGTTTCTTTTCATTGGCAATGTACCCAAACAGATATCTGCTATACCTTACGCTATTTTGGTTGTTAATGTACTGATCTTGGTATTAACTTTTCCTTTTACTGCTGTACTGAACACGCTGGTGATGTTCGCTGTGGGAAAGAAAGCGCAACTTCGAACCGTATCCAACGTTGCCCTGGCGTGTTTATCAGCTACTGATGCAATGGTTGGAATCTTTGTTCAGCCTATGTGCATATATATAGAAATATCATCATTATTAAAAGGAGAACTATCTGGTAAAACCGGCAGCTGTTCAACGCAAATCGTAGCCAAATATGCGATCAACTTTTTCTGCGCTTCTTCGCTCGTCCACATAGTGTTAATGACAGCAGAGCGTTACATGGCTATCAAACATACCTATAATCACAGCAAAGTCTTCACCAAAACCCGTGTGCTGATGGCCTCCACGGCAGCATGGATTATCACAGCAACTGCACATGTCTTGCTATACATCGACCAGAGTGTATTCAATCCTATCACGTCAGCTTTTGTGGGAGCAATTTTAGTATTCATAATCTTCTCCACTGTTATGGTATATCTTGAGAGTCGTCGACACGCGAAGCAAATCGCAGAACAGCAAGTTTCATTGGAGGCCAGGGAAAAGTTCTTGAGAGAGAAAAAAGCCCTAAAAGTATCCACTACAATTGTGTTCATTTTAATTATTTGTTATTTACCGATAATGACTTTAAGAGTGATCAATTTCGCTTTTGGCGTCGACAAAATATCCTCAATACATGTAATTTTTGTCTCTTCTGTTTCGTTAGCGCTTATCAATTCCTTTCTTAATCCGCTCATTTACTCGGTCAGATTACGACAATTTCGCGTTGCAATTATTGAAATAATCCTGAGAAAAAACTACACTGGAGCCGAAGATCCGGGTTGTCAACATTAGGTTCAAACCGCGGTTTTACGCAGGCAGTGGTCTTTGGGTATCCACTACGGGTTGTTTTATTTAATGTCCTTCCACTGCTAGATTTGGGCCCTCGACGTCATTCACAAAAGTATATGTTTAGATAAAAGATTCCGCCAAATTTAAGATAGCTTAGAACGCAGTTTTGTTAACAACGGGTAATAATTTTTTGATAACCGGCCCCAAGAGTTTTAAGAGAGAATACTTGGATTGGTCAGCATTATCAGAGTCAGAAAGATGGAAAGTGTGGTCTATTACTTTCATGCATATGAAAATTAGCTTAAATGTATCACCGAAGGAAGAGAAGTGTTTTCATTCATACTGAAAGAGCATGCTAATTATTCGCGCCATCTCTATTAAAGTATACAATTTCTTAAAGCTCAATAAATAAGATTGTCTGGATTTTGTATTTTAACGCTTTATTTTATTTACTTTCTTAAACTTCAAAGTAACGTTTTGGGTAATGTTTTCATTGTAGATACTTTATCTTAAGAAGTAAGAAAATTAGAAAAACTGCAAGTCACGTTTTTCAGTTCAATTAGGTGCATGTTGCGTTCCTATGAAAAACAAAAGGTGTTAATTGAAAGTGTCGACAAATAAACTTGTCTTGTAAAACTTCCCGGCGTGAAAGAATAAGCTTCCATCCTGTTAAATGGTCAAAACTGTTGAGCCTTTAATAAAAGTCTACCTCTATAGGGATAGCCAGCGTAATTTACATGCAACAGTCGAACCTGTATCAAGCGCCAACGTCTTAAGCGGTCCCTTGTAAAAGTCCTGAAATTAGTTTTCTTTTTATTCTCTATTAAGCGATCACCTCTCTACAGCGGTCGCGATTACCCTTTACTAAATCTCAACGGCCATTTCTTATTGTCCTAGATCTGTATCAAACGGTCACTGAAAGCGAGTCCTCATAAATAAAGCTAAGAATAATCTCTTAAGTGTAGTTTTTAATCCATGTTTCTCACTTAAAATCAAAGTAAGTGGTATTTTCGAGCGAGGTTCTGTACACGAAGTGATAAATTATGGCATAAAGTAGCAATGTTTATCCGCCAATAAACAAAAAAAAGCTAGTAATTTTTTTTCTGTGATACCGTATCGAAACAGGAATTGTACAGCAGGAATTTTTAAACTCTTTCACACGAAAAGTTATTTATAAAGTGTTTGATTTATGCCAATGGAAAATGCAAGCGAATTGTCAATTGTGCACTCGTTATTTTGCCTTTATTTTAAGCATCCATTTGTCGACGGTTTATCCAACCCTTCGTTTTTAAAACGATTTAAGTCTTTACACACCAATCCTCTTATTTTTTTTCCTAATTAGTTACTCGTTAAACGTCACATGAATCAGTCCAAACCCTATTTATTAGAAATGGTAGCCAATTAACGAGAAGAGCTATGGTATACTATGAGGTGTTTTTAGATGAAAATTAATACAATCAATGGAAATGACGCAAGTGAAACGCTCATTCATAAAAAACACTTCTAGACAAGCTCAGAAAGCTCAGAAACACATGGGAGAAAAACATCATATTCACATGGCACGGAAGAAAATGCAGTTAGCTCTCTCATAACAAACAGATGGAAGATTCCCGTTCTCGTCACTAAGAAACTGCTAAAGTGCCGAAGACAAAAGGGAAGCGACCGAGAGGATGAATTCCAGCCTGAAACTTCAAGGAACCATGCCTGCAGATTGCAAAGGCTTTCTTTTCATTGGCGATGTACCAAAGCAATTTTCCCCCTTGCTAATGCCATTTTAATCATCAATATAGTAATGATAGTGGTAACTTTTCCTTATACTGTTGTAGTGAACGCAGGGCCTGAACGCACTGGTGATGTTCGTTGTGGAGAAGATAGCGCAACTATAAACCTTATATAACGTAGCCCTGGCCTGCTTATCAGCCACTGATGCAATGGTTGGAATCCTTTTTCAGCCTCCGTGCTTATATATTGAAGTATTAGCTTTATTATCAAAAGAATTATTAAGTAAAATCGACAGCTGTCCTTTACAGGACGTGGCCAAGTATTCTATTAACTTTTTCTGTTTTCCTTCGCTGACCCATTTGGTGTTGATTACTGCTGAACGGTACGTATCCATCAAATATATCTACAGTCACAGCCAAACCCTAACCAAAACACGTATGTTAATGGCCTCAGCTTCAGCGTGGATTTTCGCAGCAGCGCCACACGCCATACTGCATATCGACCAGCTCAGAGTGTTTTCAACCCAATCACAGACAGGATCCTGGCTAGAACCCAAACCACATACCCTCTAAGTGTTCTTAAATATTTGCGCTCTAAGTGATTTTTTCACTGCCAAATTCATTGATCTAAAAAGCTTCCCACCCCTCCTCGATAGTTGGAAAACACGAATTGGAATCCGAAGGAAAATTACCGGAAGTCGTTTTTTCAGACTTTCCCAGCATGCAGCATTACCGGAAGTTCAGGAGGATTCCGCGCACGCGTGTTACCAACTGCAATAGAAAATTTTGTAATGGCGGACGTCCTAACCCGTTGGTGGTTACACAGAGAAAGCTGAGGATAAATAGCTTAATCCGTGTTAGATCGACGAACACTTGGACTTGTGTCCGAACATAGGATTTTTGCGCAGGGCTGCGTGAACATTTTAAAGAGAGAAGCGCAGAAGATGTCGATAATGGAAGGGACTTTGTGGAAATGGACGAACTATCTAAGTGGTTTGTAATATTTTATTTCACATCTCTGCTCTTTGTTGTTGTTTAGATTTTGTTCCGTGTTGTAACTGAATTTTATAAGCGTGATCTTGGTCGCTTCTCTTTCCGACTTACTTAAACTTTGCCTTTTTTGTCAACATTCAGACGTATTTGTAAAGAATTTTTTTCGAAGTGATAAGTTACTATGAAACGATGCGTTGATTTGTGGTTTTCCTATTTCATAGTAGAACGGCTTTCCTTTTAAAATATGGCGTTTGTAGGTAGACGTATACTTAATATTTCGGTGGCTTTTCAGAAGACATTGTCATCAGAAATTGTTTATTTCTGTTAAGACTGAGACTTCCTTAATACACATGGGAGAAATTCGCGCGGTTTTGATTAGCGAAATAATTTACCCGGACATGATAACTTATTTAACATTACGGAAGAATCAAACAAAGAAATTCATTATTCATTAATTTACGCCCGGAACTACTTCACTTGCCGAGTCATAGATTAAGCGGTTTAGTGAATTTATTTGTTGATTTAATGTAGTGTGTACTGTATTTACCACACTCTCTGGGTGGTTATTGTGTTAAATGAAAATGTCCGTGCTGTTGGGAACTTACACGAAAGCACGGAAACACAACATGGCAATCGGAAACGGTTATTAAATTTCAGTTTTGTTGAAAGGATCTATTTGAAATCCTTTGTCAAAGGCCAACCATGTTATCATTTTCCTGGATGCCAGAAATAACGTATTAATGACAGTGTTTTAGCTGTTTTACAGCTACAAATGTATGTTGTCCTTTATTGAGTATTATTTGCCCAGCCATAAGCTTTTTTCTGTGCAATGGTACTTGTAGCTACACTGTGGAAGATCAAATTTATAGATCAGAAGAACCTCTTTCATCAAAGGGGACTCAGAATTTCTTCTTTGTCCCACACTTGTTACAAGGTGAAAATCATCTTTCTCTATTTCTCTACTGAGCTTAACCCTTTCACTCCCACAAGTGACCAAGACAGAATTTCTCCTTACAATATTAATACAATATCAAGCAGGCAGGTGATGAGAGTAAAGAAGAATATCAATCATGGGATTATTAGTTGATCCAATACCAAATTCTCTGAACTAACATCATAAGAATTGTATAGCAGATAGTAAGGAGAATTACTAATCATATCTTGGGAGTGAAAGGGTTAATAACTTACCATCTTTCTTAATCTGTTAACAAAACCTCTTTCCTGTTGACATTCTTGCCTTCCAGTCATGGTGTGATGCTGATTTTCATAAAATGCTTAGTTCTTTTTTCTTCACTCACTCAACTAAGGAAAAGTATAAAGTAGGTCTTTTGGCAGTTTTATAAGTGAACTCCCATAAGTGACCAAGGCAGAATTTCTTCTTACAATATATAAATCTATAGTCTAAAGTTAGACACTAATATCTAAAATTAGACAGTTGCGTCTAAAATTGACCACTTGTTTCTAAAATTGACCACTTGTTTCTAAAATTGACCACTTGTTTCTAAAATTGACCACTTGTTTCTAAAATCAGACTCTACTGTCTAAAATGTGACACTAGTTTCTTTAAACAGATGGTCATGTCTATGTTTGGTGTGAAATATCACTGAATATTTTCACGAGCTGTACTGTATTTTGACAAGCCCATAGGACGTCAATACAATCAGTGAGTAAAAATACTCAGAGATAACACACATGAAAACATCCAATGAGTTATTTGTTATCCAACTGTTTTTTTTTATGGGGGACAAGTTTCTAAAGAAACTGTGGTGCTGCGTCAGTGGGAGAGGATAATAGTGTAATTTAGAGTTATCAACTGAGTTGAAAACGTAAATTGGCCCCCTTAAAAGATTTGAAGGCTGATGTTTCAAGTATTAGCCCTTTGTCAGAGCGATTGGCAATTGGTCAAACTATTTACAGTAGCCAATTTACATTTTTAACTCAGTTGATAACACTTAATTACCCCGTTTTATTATGAGAACATTTTTTTTAAGCAAGAAAAGCAACTAGATAGATATATCACTAATTCTCCCAACTGGTAATCGCATGATTCTTATATTGCTGTTTGTGAGAATTTCGTTTTGTAAGAGTAAAGTTAATTTCTTACACAGGAACACAACACACTGACCTGGCCAGGTCTTAAACTCTGATCTTTCCACTTGTGTTCAGCGAGATATAGGCCTATGCATCTCCCACACATATTTATTGGTTATTATGAATACTTATTAAATTATTTAGAAAGATTGGTTTTGTGGTTTTATTAATTATGTTTTTATGCTCTTTCAGGTTGGCAGCCCAGGTGGTTTGTCCTAGAAGTTGGAGTGTTGGCGTATTACAAATCTCAGGAAGAGGTTGGGCTTGGAAGCAGAGGATCAGTGAAAATGGCTTGTTGTGAAATTTCAGGTAAATCATTAACTTACAAACTGTTAAGATATATTGAAGTTCACAAGGCAACCAGGTGGACAATTAGAGATGGTTTGATGCTACTCTGGTTTAAAGATTTACTTCTGAGTTACAGTCATTAAATCTTTAACCCTTTAACTCCCAAGATCACATTAGCAATTCTTCTTAGTGTCTACCATACAGTTCTTGTGATGTTAGTTTGGAGAATTTGGTATTGGATCATCTTATCCCCTAATTGGTATTTTTCTTTATTCTTGTCACTTTTCTGTTGGATATTGTATTGATAATGTAAGGAGAAAATCTGTCTGGTCACTCGTGGGAGTTAAAAGGTTAAATCAGAGAAACCAGAGTAACATCAAACTATGTCTAGAAACAGGTACTTAGAGTGTGTGGCACAAAAGAAAGGGCTCTAAAGTCAGTGTTTAACTTATCCACCCTGCCTTGACATAGCTTGTCAGAGTTTAACTCATGCATTTCACCTTGATATAGCTCCTCAGCTGGCTCTGTCCTTTGAATTTCTCTCCCAAAAGTGCTAAAATTAGTAAAGATTGCAAAATGACATGAGAATTCATTCTTGCTTTCAGGTGCATATATCACAATTTAAATGATAAGCTGATTGATACATGAATTGTGATTGAAGGACAGACTTAAAAATGATGTCACCATTGACAATATTTGGGTGTTTTATCATATTAAACAAATGGAGTCCATGTTGCCATGGGTCTGTATGGTAAGATATCACAGAAGATGCCAAATTTTGGTAAGAACTGGTAGCTTTCCCCTCATATGCTACCTTTTTGTTCTTACCACATTTTTCATGTCATCTGTGATCTATTACTGAAAAGACCGCATGGCAAAATTGAATCTATCCGTGAAATCAAAGGATGAGTAGAGTTCAAAAGTTGTATGAAGTATAACCAAAAGGAACACTTTATTTCGCAAAGTTCACAATCAATATTAAAGAATAACATCAGTATACCCTGATCCCCATGCAGTACGTGTAAATAATCCAACAAAACAATTTGTTTAGTACATCCTACAGATGCTGTTCGAATTGACCTGAAGATTCCCCCGGACCAATACATTTACCTTAGGGCTGCCACACCAGCTGAACGACAACAGTGGTTAGTTGCATTGGGAACAGCCAAAGCATGTTTGACAACAATGAAACATAATGGCCACTCAGAAGTTCCTGGAGAATGTAAGAAATTGTTTTAGATACACCTTTGGTGTGCCTCATCTGTTGTGAGTCAATTTTTCCCTTGTTTCAAATTTTCTTGTCCCTATGGTAGACATGTTGTTCAATGTGATTTTGTAGATCAATGAACGTTTAATCATATGTCTCAGAATGTAGGGTCAGGCTATTACCCATAATTGTATTGACTGCAATGTTTTAACTGATACACTGCTAGTCTTCGTCAGGCAACAAGGTCAAAGGTTTAGTATGCATCACATTTATAGCACCTTGGTTTGCTGTTATTGGTAGTTTTAGTGCACTATAATTGGTGTATGTCAATCCTCATTATTATTCCAACTGCTAGATGTTGTTCCCTCATAGGTCTGTTCAGTGTTTGATTGTTTTGATGGCTGTTACACTTTTGTGTTGTCTCTATTAAAGTTATTGGGATGAAGTCTTAGGGGAGACAAATGATAGAACATTCACTTATCATTCTCCCTATTAGTCATTCTGAGCAATGTCTTTTGTTAACAGCCATGAGCCAGTTAAAGGAGAAGATGCAAGAGCTGAACATGTATCGTAGTTTATTACTGCAACAAATCAGCACCATTAAGATGCTCTGCAGCAATAAAGAGGACAACCAGGTACTGAAATAACATCCTGCAAATCCTGCCTTTGAAGATGCATTTGATTATTGAGTGATTAGCATGTAATTTCTCCCTACTTTATTAAACATTAAGGACACAAGAATATTGGATATGATAGTCAACTAAAGGAGCTCTTGATTATTCAACAAATTCTCCTTGTCCTTACCATAGGAAATATATTGAGAATGGTGGTGAGAATTTGCATACTGATATAGGGGTGTAAGGGGTTGCACAATGACATGTAATTGTGTTTCTTATCCAAAAATCTCTCGAAGCATTACTTAATATTTTTTTTGGTCATTTTTGTAAAGGAATTTGGAGAAGCGGCAACCATGCTATCTGCAACTTGCGATGAATTTCTCAAAAACATTTGTGACTGTATGGATTTAGCAGAAAGTAACTTTGGTGAGTTATTATTTCATATCATATTTCCCTGAAATATTAACCCTATGCTGGTGTTTGTGCTTGTGCTTGTGATTGCGTTGCTAGTGCTAACTGAAGTAGGTTCTAAATTAGTTTTTCTCCAATCACACACTACTAACAGCAGTGCAGTATTTAATGGAGCCACTGGGCTGCTTGGTGGGGAATATTACTTGCTTATCCCATCCAAGCTAGCCAATCAGCATGCATGAAAAGCACTATTTGTCTGTCTGGTATGTGCTAATAGGAGATATATTTTTTTCTTATTGCTGGGTCATTTCTGATTTTTACAGGGAGCTCCTCATCTTCACCATCTTCACCATCAACTTCCATGAATAAGGTGTGACATAAACATTAAGTGAATGAGGATCAACCTCAGTATCTAGTAAGCCACTGGGCACCTACCCCTCCCCTGACCCAACAATAGTCAACTGATAACATTTTAGGGTTAATGTTGGGTCAGGGGAGGGGTATGTGGGTGAGTAGTTGCTCAGATACTGAAATTGATTGGTGAATGATTAAAAAATAAATAATAAAAAAATTTTTTTTGAAGCCGAAAATGTTTATTCACCAAGGTACTAGTTTACACTTGATTTGGATCAAACACTAGGTCCTGTCCTTAAACAGTTTTTTAACAGTTGTGAACTTTAAAGTTCTCTTTTTGCAAGGATCCAGATTTTTTTTTGTAGAAAGTGAGTGAGGTGAAGTAATGTTAGTGATAGTGAATGAGTGATTGGAATAACTGAATTTATCTTTTCGATAACAAGACGCCTGGAGGCATTAACGTGGGATACGTTGGTCGTTGTCTACAGTCACTCTGGTTTTACGTGAAAAATGATAAATTTAATATTGATTCTTCAAAGTACGGGAATGAAATCGACAAATAAAGGAAATGAAAAAATGTCATTGACCCTTAAACACCCAGATCAAATTTTTAATTCTCCTTACTGTCAACCATACAATTCTTATAATGTTAGTTTAGAGAATTTTGTATTGGATCAAGTAATTATCCTTAAATTTATATTTTTCTTTATTCTCATTACTTATCTGGTTGATATTGTATTGATATTGTAAGGAGAAATTCTGTCTTGGTCACTCGTGGGAGTTAAAGGGTTAACACGGGATGTTATATGCGATCAGCCCTCCAAAAATTAGCGTCACTTCAGTGAGAAGCACAAGCACGAGGCTAATTTTCATATCTGACTACAACGACGCTGAAGCGAATTCCCAACGTGGTCTGCCACAAGCATCCCACATAATTAAACTGATCCATGTTTTTATTCTATTTTCTAATCTCTAGACTTTGAGATCAACAAAGCACAGTACTTTTCAAAAACAATTACTCCATGATGGTCATAGGTAAGACCACTTTGTAAGAGTGTTAACATCTTACTTCTCTTTACAGTATCACTGTTGAATAAAGCACTAAGGATGTGAGAATATGGAAAATGATCACCAGCTCGAAATCGTTGAACCAAATTCTTCATATCAGTACTACTGGAAATGTATAGAGAACAGTATGGAAAATATGTTTTAGTTCGAAATATCAGTTCTTCACAGTGACTGTGAAACATTTATTATGATTTAAGCTCTGAGATTTTGGTGTTAATCCGCAACAATATCCGCAAACTGTTTTTTTAGAACGTCCTAGTAAAATGATAACCATATACGTGAAAAATTACGCGCATCTGATCGGCTGAGAACGAGTTCGCATTAACATGAGTGCAAAGTACAAGAAGCGCGCGCACGCATTCAAAATTTCGTCTGTCTGGAGTTTCGGAGATGTTTTTTTGTACATTATTAACAAGTGGTAACTTGATTTCTCTTGCAATTTGGTGTAAATCTTTCAAAGACTACAAATTGCACTTGCTCTACTGGCACATGCAAGTTTGGTGTCTTTGAAAAATTTACTCGTGCTTATCACGCCAAATTGCAAGAGAAATCATGTTATTACATATACATATTTTCCTCTTACAGGTCTTCATCCCCTCCACCATCGCCAACTCCAAGTGTTGCCAGTTCATTTAGTTCTACTTACAATGGTAAGTAACGACCCTGATTCCACAAATTCCCTAACGAACCTACAGGGCTGGTTTGGAGACCACAGCTACCACAGCGGTCAAACGTCGAGCATGCGCAAGGGGATAAATCTTGCCCGGCCGCTCGCCAATTTCCCGCGCAAAATCTTTAAGGAAAACCAACGAAGCAATATGTTATAAGAATTATGTTCAAGGAAGTGGGAAAAAGAAAAACGAGAGACTTTTAAAACACGAAAGTTTTTTTTAATGGGTGTATCCTGCTAATGAACTATTTTTTTTCGAGCGTGCACACCCTGACTTACTAGCTTGTGTGGCTGTTTATAACCCTTGTTACACAATTTCGTTTTGACAGGCTGAGAGAACGCCTCATAGTCAGTGCAACACCGGCACATGCGCAGATGTATGACCACTGAGTTGATTTTTATGTCACTAGCGTCAGAAATACAAAGCTGTTTTTTTATTCCAGGACCACCAAGCGTCACAACCGTAAGCGACCAATCAGTTCACAGCGATAGAATGACGTCATCAGTTACCAAGCAGCTCACGACCCAGACTCCTAACCAAGTCGTTGGGAACCGTTCTTCAACAAATTCCTCTGAGCATAATGATCGCAGGCATGTGCAAGCTAGCGGAGTGTCGGCCAACCCCACCCTCAATCATCACAAGGCGAAGTATATTGAATTGTCTCGGAATTCCCTCGATTCACAGTCGTCGACTTCAAATTCAGAGGAAGTTAAGGAGGAACCTTTAACATTCTTCACTAGTGTGCAATTTAGGTAAATTTGAGGGAAGTAAGCATTGTGTTGAATTTAACTTGGTTAAAATGCTTTTGAAAACAGCCACCTTGACGTCACTTACAACGTTATTTTTCTGCTTATTATTTTGTAGATTTGAGAACATTCAGTTAGGACCAGACAATGGTATTCCCACTAAACTTTTTCTTTCGTCCTGTTCGTGTATCCTACCGTTTCTCGGTAAGTAGCAACACCCTTTGAAATTCTCACCACATAGGGAATTTTTGGTGAAAGGCTTGTGTAACTGAAATAGTTTTGCCTTCTATACCATAATAAAACACTATTTAAGGATACCGGTACGTTGGAACCTGGGTTATCCTTGGCTTTCCTCTTCAATGAGAGAATCAAACCCTTTTTTTTCTTTCTATGCTCGTGAGAAGTGCTTGTCATCTTGCATAAAGTTGGTAGATAACCTTTTACCCTCTAAGAGTGACTAGCATCTAGTTTCTCTTACAATATCACCCCTGAATCGCTCACGAAGGTCTTGAGAATAAAGGATATGATCAGTAACTTAAAAAGCTCTTGATTGTGAAACAAATTCTCTTGGACAGTTCCTTAGGAAATACATTGGAAACAGTATGGAGAATGTGTATACTGATATTAGGGTGTAAAGGGCTAAAGAATAAGCTCGTGAACGTTGGACATGGGACTTTGGAGCGTGTAAACACACTACGAAGCGACAATTTTCACATGAAATGGCTTCAGCTTTTCATATAAAGTTGCATCTGTAAAAAGGAACGACAAAATAAACTTTTGCTACGGACTTCCCCTTTTGTAGAATGGTTGATCGTTGGTTGCTGTCGTAGCGTAAACCTAGAGCCAATTCATAAACAATAAAACAATACAGTGCATGTTGGCAAATATGTTTTAGGCCCAACCCTCTGTCGTTTAAGCCCACTCACGCGAGTGGGCTTAAGCACTCTTCAAACATCTCCACCAACATCTCCATTTTAGCCCGCAAAATGCGTCACAATGCCGGATGAAGTGATGATAATTTGTACTAATTGTTGTGTTTTTTCAGATGTTCTTGGATCAACTGCATTTGCTCCTGTTAAACTGGATATCAGTGGGAATATAAAAGTAGGGATTTGAAACAAAGCTTTTTCACTTATTTTATGGTGGCCATCTATAAGTTTATTTTCGTCAAAACATATTAGGCCAACTGCGTATGTGTGAAGTGTGAAATAAGCTTACTAATCACATCGTAGCATACTAGTTTTCAACCAATCAAAATAAAGGGAAATACCACAAGGTGCGAGTGACAACACAAAGTTAACAGACTACGTTTAGCGCGGGAAAACGCGGATGACAAAGTCTGTTAATTTCAGTTTTGCATCTGACCAGTCAAAAGGATAGCGTGAGTTTTCTAGACCAATCAGAGCGTAGTGCTATAATAACCAATGCAGTTCCGAGTTATTTTCGATACTCAGATGAAAGTTGCTTTACTAAGTTATCTAACCAAATTTTGTATCGATCTATTGCAGAAACTCGAAGCTAAACACGATACGGATCCGAAAGCGTTTGTCACGCTGCAAAATATTGTTTACCAAGAACTCAAAAGCAACACGTGTACGGTGAAAAACTCAGCCACGGACGCGTTACTATGGTTGAAAAGGTGAGTAAAATAAAAACTCTTCATTTAGTCAGGAAAAGTTTTGGTTGACAGTGAAGTTTTTCGCTGTGTTATTGTGTCTAAAAGATCAAAGGTGGCGTCAAACCGTTAAAGTAAGGATGTCTATCTGAAGCGCTTTTTGCAGATGAAATTTTACCGTAGACAATTTTTTTACCAAATATTTACGGTTAACGGTTATTTTCCGCTTAATACTGGTTGCCCTGCGTCATTCACAAGATTTGAATACTTGTGTAAGACGAGTCTCTTACGTCGTCCAATTAAAAATCTATTTCAGAGCTTTAGAGTTTATGCAAGTGTTTCTCGCTGAAGTTGTTCGAGGAGAAAAAGATCTCGCTGTAGCGGCAGGTAAGGGTTTTTTTTTAATTTCATCCACATTTCATGTAAATAAAGGTCGAAAATGACTGATAACTTCTCTCCAATTGTTTCATTGGCTCACCTTCGTTTATTCCCGAGTGAACCTCGTTTAGTGTCAATTACCAAATAACGTCAACGACCAATCAGAACAAAGGTACTATTACAAATAGCCAATGAGGACTCTGAATAAAAACGGACGCACTGCCTTAACCCGTTGACCCCCGAGAGTGACCAGCTTCTAATTTCTCCTTACAATATCACCCCTAAATCAAATATTAAGATTCATAAGAATATAGGAAATCATCACCAACTTAAGTAGCTCTCGATTGTTAAACAAATTCTCCTTGTCAGCACCTTAGGAAATGTATAGAGAACAGTATGGAGAATATGCATACTGATGTCAGGATATAAAGGGTTAAGCGCGAGGGAATTACGAATAGTTTTAGTTTTGCATCTAATCGAGAATTTTAGACGAGTTTGTACCAATCAAGAGAGAAGTGAACGGAAAACCAAAAGAATGTAGCCCTGTCTATCTTGCGACGCCCAACTGTAAATTGCCCCAGTCCTTCGCCGTGATCAACTGGAGTGTTATTAGCAGTTTCGGTCGCGGTCAAGCGCCTTTCCAACTGAACCTTCTATAGAGGTCCTTGGTAATTTACTGTGCAGTCGTTCAATGTTTTATTCCACGGGTTAGAGTTTAATTAAAAGTTACTTCTCAGGTACGGCTTACGGCAAGACGCTCAGAAGATATCATGGTTGGGTCGTTAGAGGGGTTTTCGCTGTAAGTATAAGAAGATTTAATATCGTAAGACTTTTGACATTTTTTTTTAATTTCTGAAATCATCACGAAGGTTGGATTATGGCTTGATCATTCTACGTGATTTATTTGTAGTTGGCAGTTAAAGCAGTGCCATACAGATCGGATTTTCTTACAGCTCTTGCGACCACTGAAAAGGGCTTGGCCACTCACAAGGATGTCATACGGGACATGAAGATGTGCGTTGAGGGACTGAGTCGATTTACGAACATTATAAACCAGTTATACCGGAAGCACAAACTCGATTCGGAGGAGACCGTGTAACGACGTCACGCTTCATTTCGGCGGAACCGTTCGTGACATTGTCACGCTTTTCCGCCCTGTTCACGCACACATACGAGGCTTTTGTCCTCGTTCTTATGTAGTTAATCACATAGCTAGCTCAAAATTTATTTTAATAAGAACTATTATTAACTAAGTAACATAAATATTTAAGAACGACAGTCAGTATATATAGAGTTAACTTTAGATCTCGTTGCTAAAAGAATGAATAGAGTCAGGAACCCATTACTTAATGGGCTCCTGATAAAGTAGTGTTCAGAGGACTCCCCCTCTACCGCTGTGAACTGGGTTCCATTTCCAAAGGTGGCATGAAATGTGTGTTGAGATTTTTGCTAGTTTTCGTTGTTGTGGTGAGGATTTTTCTTTGGAAGCTGTGGTTTTCCTCCTTCTCAAAGCACCAACACTACAAATTTCAGTTCGACTTAATTCGTTATCAGACTTTCCCTGGTTCTTCCCAAGCTGTTATTGTTCCACGCAGAGTCTTCAAGCTCAGTGGAAGTTTCTATTAGCCTTATCACTCTCAAGAACTCATCAGAAAATCTCCTACTGTCTGCCATACAATTCCCATGATGTTAGCAGTTAGAATTTGGTATTGGGTCAATTGATAATCCCCTTAATGATATTTTTCTTTATTCTCATCACTTACCTGCTTGATATTAGATGGAAGTTGTGAGGAGCTTTGTGTATAGAGCATTTGACCGTAAATATAATCATTTTTCTTCGTTCGTGACAAAATGTTTTTCTTTAACAGGCTGGAGTAATTGTTCAAAATCTCTTTTTTTTTCTAGTTTTTACTGACTGTCGCTCGTAATATATTGAAAAAAATCAAGATTTACCCAGATACTATAAATCACATTAGGTAATTTAAATACTGTTGTAAATTTAATTTCTTTTCAATCGCCCAATAGTTCAATTTGACAAAAACGGTAATCACACAATTACCCTTGCCATTTTAAATACTAGTGTAACAGGTAGTTGGCAAATTATAGATCTGATTGGCTACACGATGTCTTTATTGATTGGTGCCAGTCTCAAACCGCGCACGATCAGTGAAAAAGAGAGCAAAGTTGCAATTTCCTCGTCCCCTGATCTTATGATCATATTATGGCATGAGAAGTGGCTTCTAAGAAACCCTAGGGGTCTGGGAACGAGAATGGCCGACCCAGCATGATATCTCCCGGAATCATGATATTTACTCAAAACTACAATTGAATCTAGCAAAACAGGAACGCTATTAATTTTATTGTAGGGAAGTTTTATAAAAAAGCATTCAGGGAAATTTATCGTTCAAACTAACTGGACTTAAGTAAATCAAAAAATTAAAACGCTATCAGATGGTAACGGTTCGGTGACGTATGTTTTATGAGTACGTGCACTATGATTGGTCAGTTTAGCGGGTCGTAATTCACTGTAAGGCCTTTTCAAAAGTCTGTTTGGAATCAAATTTCTCCCCTCAATTAAAACTCAAAGATCGAACGAATTTCTCGTTTTCTCGGTCTGCACTAAAAGTTATGGGACCTAATTTTTCGGTTATGGTCCTACTAACGGCCATAAATCCGAGCGGAACAAACTGGGTTCGTTACTTAACAGTGTCTACCTCGAACTCAGTTAGCAATAGGTACTTATCTAGAGGACAGACGATATGAGTAAAGAAAACAATTCTAAAATGGCTTAGTTCTCTGACCAGATAAAACATCAAAATCTCACAGCTTGTATAGATGTGTACAATGATTTATAACGTGGATTGATAATTTCATCTTGGAGCAGAACTGTAGCACAAAATCGAAGACCCAAAGATTCGATAACGAGTTCAGTTTCAACTTTCTCAGCGAAATTTAGTATTTAATTCGTGAAGTATCCGGAAATGCAATTTTAAATTGGGAACAACTCCCAGCTCTTGCCAGTGGAGAAGTTGGAACCTTCTCGATTAAAAAGCCGTTTGCTTCATTAAAGTGAAAAAGGCACTTGGCTTCCCACGCTGAATTAAATCACGTCCGCGCGCGCCCCACTAAAAATCCTGAAACTTACACTTTGCACTATCTTCGGATCAGCTTCGTTTGATTGTGAGATCTTTTCATGAAGCGTGCCTTCTCTAGCCTGCAATAGGTCTGTAAGGGGTCCAGCCGGATAAACTATTATTAGTTCCACTCCCCCGGCAAAGCTTCTCTCGACTCGTCTCAAACCTTTTTTGCGGACGGAGAAGTGCGCGTCCTGCAGGGCTTATGACAATGAAGACCTGCTTTCCTCTAAAGGCCCTAACTCGGTCCATCAAAATCTCTCAAAAGAACTTCTCGTGTTTTGCTTGGTAAATTTTTTTTGGTAAATTTTATTGGCTGCCTCATCCCAGAGTCCACTCGATTTTCTAAATGGAGCCGCTACCGCCATTTTGCTTGAACCGAGAAGACCCTGGGGACAATCTTGCTTTACGAAGCCCTCGCGGTGTTCTGGGCCATTTTGAAATACTTCTTGGAACCCGAGAAGTTCACCCAAAAAGAGTTCACGCAAGTTTCAGTCGTATTAAGAAACGCAAGCCAGCGCTATTTCTTCGCGCAGCTGGTGACTGTTACGCTCTGTGGATATTCTACCAGTAGCTTTGTGACAATTTAACTAGAGCGAAATGCAGTTTATGTTCGAATTTTAAATCAAATATCAGCGTTTTCTTTTCACAGACATTTTGGAACTGTACAAGAAAATTTGTGTTCTTTCGTTGCAAACTTGTATTAAAAAAAAAACGCGATATAGTTTTGAAAAAATGCTTTAAATATTAAGGAAACTCGGTTGTTAATAGATATTCAAATATTATTCAATTTGAAAACTCTTCCGTTTTCCGTTTGAATTTTAGGTTAAAATTGGCTGATCAGCGAATGAAATCAATAATTCACAACCAGTTCAAGTGGAAAAAAGCCCTATCTTCGATTGAAGTTTACACTGAAAGTCATCAATGCGTGAAATGGTCGAAAAACCTCTGCGAATTCAAATGACAGCCCAACGGTCACCAAAAGAATGTGTCTCTAATGGGAGTGAATGAATTAAAGCTTGAAGAAGATCTATTTAAGGAAGTGTTGGAAATCGAAAAAGATAATTGTGGGCGAGTGAAATTCAAAATGAGCGATCCTTATTCAAACGAGGCCCCGGCTGACAGAGATGAGGAAATGGAAGCATTTGATATCTCTCCGATGGCTTTATCCTTCGAAGCCGCCGGAATAATAGGAGTTTGTTCGACAGTAATCATCGGTAACGGGCTTCTGTCTGTCCTAAGTTTCAGAAAACCCAGCCAGTCTTATACGGGAAATACCAGCCTTCTTTTCGTCGCTGTGACGGATATGTTTACGGCCATCATTACGATGCCGCTCATGGTTGCTTCGTTGTTAGAGTTGAAGTGGAAATATGGTGACGTGCTTTGTAAAGCAACTGGAGTTTTGACGATGCTTTTCCTCTTTACAAGCTTAATGGTACTTTGCCTTGTTTTATTACATCGTTGCTGGATTGTATTTTGTTCAAACCAAGAACTGGAGTCCATGGCAAGAAAGCAAACACTGATATTTATGGTAGTCGTTGTCCTAGCAATCGCCATTGCAAGCCTTGCGTTTCTGATCAACTGGAAGAGATTTCTCTCCAATCCAACGAGACTTCTTTGTCGGCTTACAAATTCACCAAACTATATTGCGTACAGAATGTATTACTGCATCTTCTCCATGATAACACCTTTGCTGATAATTATTTTGTTGCTAAATCGAAAACCACAACCAGCCACCTGAATATAATTTGTTTTTGATTTGTTTTGAACATCTTACACGTTATCAGCATTGAACCATGAAATACATAGGTTTAAAGCGGATTCCGTGCAAAGGACTCAGACGTCTTCTTTGTCCCATACTTGCTAGTCAAAAGCGAATGTGGTCGAGCTTAAAATTCAATACTTTCTAGGGCTTTCAAAAACGTTTTCAATGAGCGGCTGCCGCTGTTGTTAGAGCCCGAAAAGGGGACCTGAGGCGAAACCAAACATGCCAAACAGACGGCGACAGGATATCTTCCAGGCTGTGGAAGACCGCCGGTAACCGCCTATTATGGAAATCCCTTCTGTTTTCCTAATTATATTTACAGCCAAGATGCTTTAGACATTGCATGGTGGTCGTTGCAGTAATCAAAATACTTAGCTCGCTAAAGAGATTTGTGTCACCCAATTTCAGAACATCCTAAGGGTCTGTCTGTTTGAGGCTCGATTTATCGTAGGGGTATTTGAATTTTTACTCTGTTGCACGTACGTTACATAACGAATAAAAATACATTCATTCACATCTTTTAATGTTTGAAGAGCTTTGTTTACGATAGCGAGATCACATGTCAGACTCAAAAAGACAAACATTCAGAAATTATATCTTCCACACGTAATCAGCGCTAGCAGTGAATTGTGCGTTGATTTTCTGACCAAGATTGTGCCCCTTTTGACGTTGTTTTCCTTGTTTCGCCTTACTGTTACAACCTCGGTTGCAAGATCCTCTCTGAAAGTCAAATCCAAGATGAAGGATCCACAGTTTTCAATAATGGCAGACCACCCCATTAATTTTGAGAACCCATTAATTTGACTTTGAAATGGATCATCAAACATCTCTCGTAAGCATGAAATAATATACCTTTTCATTTACCACACATGTATTTTTTATGTTATGTGGTCGGTTCGTCGCTATAATTGATTAGAAAGAGAAATGGTCTTGTTACCATTGCCGGCACGTCACGAAGTCACCAAGGAAATATCAAATAAATACTTGTCAGTTTGTAGTTTGAGAAAAGTTCTAAAGAAACTGTTCTTCTAAACACGAATACTCTGCTATGCTAAAATTTTTCAACAGAAATATAACATAAATTAAATGGCGCCGGTTGCTGAGATACGAGAGAACCACTTGCGCAAACAGAAATTGCATCTCACTGATACTGGATCAGGAAACTAGATACTAGAGGAAAGGGCATGCAATTATGAAACTCAAAGCTTTTAACTCAAACATCACTGAGATTAGGCGAACAATTGTATCATAAATTGACAGGCGCCGTTACTATTGTCGATGGCGACTGAATTTTAATCAATTAAACTCAGCTTTTTACCAATTTATTTCCATAGACGGGATTAACAGAAACTCCCGTTAATCAATTGCTTTCTAAGACTATCGCTCCTCGATCTATTTTAACGTGAGATTTACGACGAAAACCGCATGTTTCGCTTTAGGTGGCGTTGTGAATTGATGTTTTACAAGTTGCTCCTGGGTAAACATGTTTAATTTTCATTTCCTACGCTTTATAATTCTTCTTTTTTCCAGGTAACGTTATCCTATCGCTGGGTTTTATCGTAAAACTTCACAGGAGAATCAATACTTTCGTGATTTGCCTCGTTAACATTACAAAGTAAGCCGGCGCACTGCATGATTCTAAAGGAGCGTTTCAAAACCACAATTGATTTGATATGTTTATTTTCGATATTTTTGTTAATGAAGACATAAATTTATGCACTCCTTACTTCTTAAAGGGTATCTTGCATAAAGTTTTCCTTTTCTCCCTTAAAAGACTTCAAAACCTTTTCTTAACTTTGCAAGATGGATTTGTTATTAGCAATTAAACTCGTTTTAAATGGTATGTTTCTAAAGTTATGAAATATTTATTTTATTTTTGATTAACCGCAGAGCGTATGGCGTAGCAGAATCTCTTGAACTAGGAGAGAGAGTGGTTAAAAATGCAAACAACGTTTCTACATTGTCGAGTACGAGATAACGCAATGGAGGTTTCTGACAGCTCAAAAGTGCTATGCATTCGCATGGTATTGTTTTCAATCTATGTTTTGGCTGGAGCTGCCGTTTTTCAAGCAATTGAAAGCCAGGAACAACTCCAAGAGATAAGAAGCCATCGAGACACAAGGAAAGAAATTTTGCAGAAATACAACATCACTGCAATCGATGCCGACCGATGGATGGAAACGTTTCCGTCGACTGTCCTGGGAAATGAGGGTTTTCTGGAATGGAATTTTGGAAATTCTTTCCTTTTCGCGATGGTAGTAATAACTACAATAGGTAAGATTACCGATTGTCTCATTTTATAAGGAAAATTCACACCTAACGTCAGCTTTCACACAAGTTTTCATGTCAATGACATGTTTTCACATGCACTCTTGAATTTTTAACGATTTCGACTCTCAATATCCGAGTCAATTGTACTGACCGCGATGGTGCCACTGATATCTTTCAGTAGCTTCGTGCTAATGAGCTTCTCGCGAACCTTAAACAACATTAAGATTGTAATGTATTGTAACAGAGAAAATAATGCCAGCGTTAAGTAGAAAATGAGAAGTATTATCGGAAACATTCCGAGTGAATCGGATGAATCAAATGGGTTAAGACAATAATCACCTTTATCCTCTCGAAAGTTTCCCCGAAGAAACTTCTGTTTAGGAAATTATTTTCCCGTGGGCACCAGCTAAACTGGAAGCCACCTCCATGATCAGTAGTCCAATTTATCAGCAGATTCGAATATATTGGCTTTAAAAGGGCATTCTAAAAAATTTCCGCCCAGGCGTTGGCGTTACGGTAATATTTAAAAAATTGGAACAATTTTGTCAGATGTAAATGTTAAGAAATTTTTCATAACACTCAAAAGGAGGTATTTTTTTTATCTAAGTAAACGTGGTCTTTACTCTTGTAAAGAATAAGTCAACAGCATTCAGTCCATTTTGAAAGCTGCACCTTTTGTTTGTTCCATCAAATTTTCATTCAAAAGAAGTCACACAAAACTACACAATTAGAGATTCATGCATAAGTGATTTCGATAAAAAACAAAATAAGTCTACTCAATCTTAGCTGCGTTTACTTCTCTCCTATTCAGAAAGAGCGTACCAAAGAAGGAAAAAACTGCGAATCGTTATGCGATTCGTTTTTCAAACAAAAAACGCTTTCAGTTTTCTTCGTCGAATTGCCTGAGCCTGGAAATGTAACCTTTTTTTTTTTGAGGGCGATGAAAAAATTATGAGCACGGAAACATTTTATGATGAAAGTCATAATTGAACCTCAAGTTTCTTTAGAAGTGTATTATTTTATTTTCTCATGAATTTTAATCTTTATTTTATATCAATTTATGCGACTTTAAGATTCAAACTTTTTTATCATTGGTTGATTTTGAAAGCATTTACACCGATATTTTTCTTTACAATACAAGACACTCGTCTAAATCACACTTAAATTAGCTGTGCAAAAAAGGTTTTGACAGCACGAAGTCAGAGGTCATGCAAAATTAATGCCCACCATAATTGATCTCAGCAAGTTAAAAAGCAGTCTACCGTACTTAATGTAAAAGTCTGTGGATATTCCTCGAGTCAGCGCAAGGATTCTTTCAACAAACCATCTCTTCAACTGCATCCTGTCCCCGAGCTGCCCTCCTGTCCGCGAAAGACTGGGGAATCGGGATGAGGAGCAGTAGGCAACCGTAGAATTTATTGTGGAAGATTTTGTTTTGAATGAATTAATAGTCATGCCATTATTTTGAAAATGTCGTCCTTGTGTAGCAGACATTCATCAAATAAAAGAATTAATAGAAAAGTTATAGCCACCTTTAAAGCATAATAAACAGTTCTAAGTGAATTTATTGCTCAATAGTTTCAATTTAAATTTTCACAAACCAGGTTTTCACCCACAAAGGTAACAATTAAAATCACACATCCAGCAGATGTTTCAACAAAAGCCGGTTACCAGGCTCTCGGCGAGCAGGCTCCCGTGTTTAGGTTTGGCAAAGCCGCCTAATATACCATTGGCGACCACTTATGGAGAAAAAAGTTATTGAAACCAGTGACCTTACGCTTGTCAAACATAACAAACAGAACAGAACCATATCAAAGTACTACTCAATAGCTTTTATATGAATAGTCAAACTCTAGAGTTCCATTTACAGACTTAAAGGCTAGAACCACCAGACAATAGCAATCGATAATCTTACCACGGTAAATGATTTGAACCAGTGGGTAACATGTGATAGTGTAGTCTGATCGTCAGTCCAGCGTAGTCCTGAGAAGGACTGTTTATACGAACCAGACTTAGAATATTCGACTAACAACAACTTTTCACTTGACTCTGATAATGACTTCCGCTCGGGTTGTCGAAACGTCAGTCACCACTACCAGCAACAGCCCTTCTCGGGATGACACTCACCTGGATGATCAGACTACACTATCACAATCAACGATCTCGCAGCTTAATAATTACAACATTCATTTGAATCGATCGTCACACTTAAAGGATTGATGAATAGACTACAGCGACCGTAAAATGCTCTTTTTGTAATCTTTAAAAATAGTAACACGGAAAAGAGGATGTTACTATTTAAATGATATTACTACATCTACACGAGAGACGCCTACCAGAAAGTGATTGAGGGAGAACTTTTCATGTATTGATTTTCTCAGCATTAATTACAGTGTTAATTACCGATCATTATCTATCGCCTAGGGGCTCAGATGACTTTGGTTAAGTCGCAATAAAATTTACCTGATCCCCCCCCCCCCCATAAGGCTCTGTAAAATTCTAATGTTCCCCCCTCATTGGTAGAAAATGTGCTTTAGTACCCCCTGAAATGTTTGTTGGCGACGATAGATCCCTACTTCCCAATCCGTTACCCGTATACTATGTGATCCCCCAAAATTTTCCGACCCCCCAACCTCCCTCCCCCAGGCAATAAAAAATGACCGGCCCCTAGAGTGTTTTTTTCTTTACTTAGGCTACGGTAACATTGTACCCAAGACAGTGCAAGGTCGTCTATTTTGTGTCGTCTACGCTTTATTCGGAATCCCTGGGACGTGTTTAACTCTCAAAGCCGTCGGAGACAAGATCGCGGAAATATTCACAAGACTCGTTACAACCTTTGAGCAACGTCTTCTAAAACGACCACACCCTCGACATGTTGAGCTGAAAGTAGCGTCCATGACAATTTTTTTAACCGTTATTCTCCTGTTACCACTGATGTCTCTTATAGTGAAAGTGAGACATCAGGAATGGACTTTCATCGATAGTTTTTATTTCACGTTTATAACACTGAGTACGATTGGATTTGGGGATCTTTTGCCGCAGTTTAACAAGGATGCCGACTACATTCTTGTGCTCCTAGCGTTTGTGGGTCTTGCCTTCGTTTCTAGCATTTTCTGTTCAATGAACACAGTTCTTGAGCAGTATGGGGTGAGTGCGCGCGTGGTGCAGTCTTTGCGCGAGAAACGCAGAGATGAGGAAATGTCCAACGTGGACGAAGGCGCAGATTTAGACAAGAAGGATAAATCTCTGCGCGATTCAAATGGTTTCAAAGATGGCGCTGTAATGGGGAACGACAAGCATGTTCTTCAAAACGATAGTACCGAGAACGAAGAAAATGGCGACTTGGAATTAAAACCGCTTTCTAATCGAAATAGTTTAATCATAGATGAGGAGGGCAAAATGGCAAATCGACGAAAAAGAGGAAGTACCGTCAGTTTAGGAATATTCCAATGCTAAGTGTTTATATTACCGCAACAAAAATTGTAGGATTATATGCAATGAATTCGAAATTTTCACGCGGCGAAGCTGCAAGGTAGTTTCCTGCACGTTTTTTAATATTTTATCGACCCTGCAGAAAAAATGTTCAAACTGATGAAATACACATCTGATTAGATTAAACCTTACAATGTTTCAGCCAGTTGGGCCCGATTGGCAAGGTTTCCTCAAGCAGATAGGTGCTTTTGATCATTCAATTACAGTCTTTATGAAATCTCGATATAACAATGAACCATTTTTAGTTGTGCACTTAGTTGCCAAGCTTTTGATTTGGAGTGAGGCTGAAGGTGGCCTTGTTGTGATGGAGACCAGTATCTAGTTAGCATAATAACGAGGTAATTTACATTTGAAAAGCAGCAAGGTTTGTATCTTAACAAGATCACCCTTAGCTTCACTCCTGTTTAAAGGCTTGGCCACCAAGCACGCAGCTGTCAAATGAACTATTCAGGAAATTATTGTCTCAGTTAAGGATAGGATAATTTCCGAATATTTCAATGCTAAGATAAGTTTCGAACCACTTTCGCTTCGTGATAAAAGTCGAGGAGTTACACATGGTGAGACTCTGTTGAAACAAAAGATTTATCAAAAGCATGCAGAACAAGATATTGCATTATTCACAAGATGGAGTCGACTCGGAGTAAAGGTATTTAAACGGAAGTCTTTATAGGGATATTAATGTTTGCTTTTGATAACAAATATTCAATGTTTAACTCGTCTGTTTAAAAAGAAGGATCGAAAGCTTATAACTTACTGTATTTACTTCACAGCGTACGCATTGATAATTCATAGATAGAGTTAAACGAAGAAGCACTTGTGATAAATTATGTTTTACCGATAATGTAAAATCGAAGAGGTTGTTTTTCCGAAACTGGTTGAGTGTTGGAATGCGCGGCCGCTAAGCTGAAAATTTGTCATAAAATGTCGACAGCCGCCGAGCAAAAAAAACCCGAAAGTATTTTGGGTTATGTCGTTTCAAGAAAAGATAACAGGAAATTCTGCGACTTTTTTTTCGCTCAGCGTATTAAAGAAAGTGTGGAGTTTACCAATCACACGAGAAGATAAAAGGAACTGCAACGGTGATTGTCCTAGGATGACTTGTATTTGCTTTGGTTTTGTTTGCTGTATAACACAAAGGAGCAAATTGCTTTCGAAGGTAATACTGGTAAACTTCTAACCATTTGCCAAACACTCAACACTCAGCAAAGATACAACAATAAAAGGTCAACGTTTTAAAGTGGGCCACTGGCCCTTTGCCACTCGATGAATACAGCCTTGACAGACTCATGTTCTATCAACGAGTGAATCTAAGTTGACGAAAAGTTGAGTGTTGGTCGATTAAAGTACGTTCCAACAAGCTAAGTTTGTCAGAAGTAAAAGTGACGTCGAAATTATCAGTAACCAGCTTGAGACGTGAATTTTTTTCTTCCTGAGTTGAGATATTCCCACGTACCGAGCAAGTCGTACATTCAGTCAATTTCAAGACTACGAATAGTCCCCCTTCCTGGCGAAGGTCGTTGCGCGCATTTGAAAAAAAAATCTACAGAGTTAAATTGATGCTTGTGTGCCGTGCATAACTCTGGGATTAAGGTGCTTTGAGTAGTTCCTCGGGGTGAACAAAAATCAATTGTTGTTTTCGTGTTTTTCGTTTTCGTTTTTTGTATTTTTGTTTTTTTTACTCGTTTTTGACGGATCTCTTCCCAAAGGAAGGCGTGCTCGTATTCTAGTCAACATCAGACGGGCAGAACCTCATAGGATGATCTAAAAAAAGGTTAACTTCGACTTTTGACCTAAACGTCGAAAACACCTTAACTTGTATCGATACATTTTGTAAATATTTATAATTCGACTTTTGAAAAGGCCAGTAATGAGTAATTATTTCTTTCTTTGCGGCGGAACGTGAAAGGGTCAGCATGTGTCAGATAAAATTTATTTTTTCATTTGGTTAAATATTCCTTTATTCATTGCACTTACGCCAAACAAGAACTTAAAAATCTTATTTATTAAGTTGACCCTAGGGTTGTTTAATCTTGTTTCACTCTTTCGCGTGTGCGATTGTTACACATTTGAGTCAAGAACTTCATCATATTTTTTTCTTCCGATCAGTTATCCACAAAAATTTATCTAGAACCTCAACTTTTACGAAAAACAGAAGCGAACGTTGGATCGGAAGTTCAATTTGCAATTGAACAATTTACCTGTAGTATACAAAACACTTAAAAATTGTTTTTGCTTCGAAAAAAGGGCCTTTTAGAGGGATTTCTGAGAATTTATAATCCAGCCAATTACAACTACTTACCTTCCTGATGATTATATTAAATCCATTCAGAAACAGTTATCGATCTACATCGCTAAAAAAATTGTCAAATGAATTTGATAATTAATAAAAGAAAACTGCTTTTCACTGATTTTGGCATTCGTTCTGTGGGACTTGCCTCAGCGCTGACGAGACGTAGTTACAATATTTACCGTTTAACTGCAAGTATTGCAATTTTTCTGCCGGCCCGTCTCTGTATTCAAACGCCGATGTTTGGTAAGTGAAGGCATCGACACTATTTTTCTGATTCAAACCTCGCATAAAATGGTTCTGAACATTAAAACAGACAAAGCAAATAAAAGTTATGTAATTCTTTTATCAAATGAGTTGATTATGCAAATTGGCCACGATAAAGAGTTCCAACGCTGACTTTTCGAGCGTTAGCTCTTCCCCACCGACGCGGTTCCTTTAGAAAATTACCCACTTCATGAATATCAAAGAACCTGGCAAACTACGAATACGTTTACTTAAGTCTAAGAATTCGAAATAAAAAGAATTGCAATCAGATTACAGGAAAACAAAAGTCGTTTGAAAACTATTTACAAATGATCATTCACTTAACAACACAAGCATCAGATCGAAGAACAGTGTCCGAAGACTTTTTTCAATCGTTCTTCTTCTTGTTCTGTTCAAACGCCTTTTCTCCTGTAGTTCCAGTAATACCTCCTGCGGGCGGTGGCCTGGCCTCTTTGGGACGCCAATAAACCCAGATAATGCCGTCCTGAGCAGGATAGCCAACTGACTCTGCTCTCCTTCGCTGTACAGGCGGTATGATGCGCAGTCTTGACAGCACCTCACGCCCTTGCCTCTCCCACTCTTCTCTAGATATCAACGTTTCCGCGGTCTCGGTTGAAGTCGGAACACGATTACCACGGCTAACTGCAGTGCCCATGGCTGGTAGACTCCTTTCTGTCTAATATTTTAATCTAAAAGGACACTGTCGAAGTTGTTAATCGTTTCCCTCTGTTCAAAACGTGATTTTCAATGGGCGCGAGAACTTCAAGCAACAAAAAGGTATAAATTTGACGTAACTGTTGCCATGGTAAAAAACATGTCGTCATAGCAAATCGACGTATCATAACAATGAGGATAATTATTCAAACTTACCTCTCCCTTATTCTATTTACAATGTGGAGAATTTTGTGGGAAAATGGGCTGAAAGGTCGCTTTTTGAGATGACCTTTTCGTTGCTAGTGTTCAAAATGCGCCAAGATTTCCATTCAATTTCTCATGGAGACGGAGATATAGCAAAACAAAATTGATGTCAATATTTAAGAAAGTCATCGTCAGAGAAAATACTTTACACGAAAGAGGAGAGTTAGGGAAGGATTTTGCATACGGAACTTGAAGAAAGAAAATACTTTAGAAGAATTTTCTTTCAAAAGGCGTGGTAAAATCCTCTTCTGGAACAAGATATATAGATAAGAGCATATTTCCTTGATGCCGAGTTGATCCTATCCTGTGAGAGCTTGGGTCCGAAAATTCGTGATGATAAAGTTGATTGGCAAGGGTGTTATGACGCATCTATGATCGTTCGGTCATTCCCAGTCTTCTCATCTGCCTACCAGCCTAAAACATGGAGTAGCACTGGGAAGGACTGTACTTTAATCGTTCGTTACCGGGCAACCTCGATTTCAGAGCCAGCTTTACTTAGACAATCGCGGCACTCCAGTCGGCCATTTTGAATTCTCGACGGAGGTTGCCTGTCGAACATAAAAGGCGATGAAATGTTCTTAAATTTCAGACGTCGGAAATAGAGCGAAGGATTCTCCTACAAATAGTTCCGATACCAAATGACAGACCGATAATTCTTGCATTATGTATTTACATCATGCATGCATGTGTGATTTATCAAGTATCACATATAATTATAACCTACTAAATTATTGTTAGGATTCGTTATGATGTTCCAGCATAACTGCTGTCTTTGAAATAACTATATAAGGTACGTTTCAATGATAATGAATGCATAGTTAGCCACAAAGATAATTTATGCACAATGAATTATTCATTCACGAATCTTCAATTACTTTTCTGCTCTGTTATTTTTCCTAGCATAGTAAAAATAATAAAAAAGCTGAGGTCATCATTCATTTTTATTATTAATTTTTTTCATTGCAATGCTGCGACAAAGTAGCCAGGTTTGCCTGTTATAGCAAGATGGAAAGCTTTCTTCGACTTTGCTGAATTTCGTATTTTGACTCATTATGACAGTGACAAGGGTTTTAAAATGTTTGAAATGTTCTAGTTCGCTCCATTAAGATATAATTTGTTTCATTTCAAGACATCGCTGAAAGCGAGAAAGTATTTTCCACAACTGAGCGAAGTTTCCTCTTGGAATATGGAGTTTGCTCATGCAGGCCTTTGCTTCTTGAACGTGCATGGCAATGCAATTATATTTTACAAATTGTTAATTCCACTAGCGGCCATGCAAATTTCTCGCGATTTTCTGAATAGATACGCCTAGCTGTGAGAATTTTATTCCATTCCCACTGCTTCTTCGGATTCGTTTTTATTTTAAGATGTATCGTCTTGGTCAGCCATTTCCCGTGGACTACTTTGTTGATTGAGGCGTATGTGAAAATTGTCTTTTGTTTGGTGGAACGTTGACAACCATTCGAGCACCAGAAGAGCCCAAGGCGTCTAATTATTGTTTGCTTGGTCAACTGTCTTTAGGAAATTCTCTTCCTTTTCCGTTTTTAATTATTACTGTATTTGGCCACGAATATCTTCGTGGAGCCCAGTGAATCCAAAGTTTGTTTTTATCAATGTTATTTGTAGCCTTCTCATCTTTGATGAAAGCTGCTCGTCTCCGACGAGACGGCGTCTCAATGTGAATATACGGTACAATGAATTTCTTCTTTGGTTTCTTGACATCTGCATTTTCACTAGAGAATGTCCTCCCACACACAATAGTGTCGTTGCTTTGAAACGTCCGACTTGGAACTGAACCCATTGTTTGCTGAGGTTGAGAAGTTTAAATTGACAATTCGCCGACAAAAACGGTGAAGGCTTCCAATATTGTTGACAAAAACGTAATACCAAGTGATTATCATTCACGTAAAATTTTATGCATGTTTCTGGTTCGTGTCGGCGTTACTTTAGCAGCAATTTAGAGACAATCTTGGCAGTAAGTGACTGTTTTTTCACCCATAAATTAATTCCCCCATATAATGTGCTTATCTTTCATGAATTATGGAACGAATGACGTAAACAATGAAGTAAAAACTCTTTTAGCGGGGACGTTCTTGACAGAACGCATTAAACAGAACTTTATCACAATGCTTTAGAGTTTTACTTCAACCCGTGCACAGCGAAGGTTTCCTTATTCTTTGCGTCAGTCTTAAATTCTTTATGAGTTCCAGCTGAGTGAAACAGGTGTACTATTATAATAATGAAGTACCATTGTAAAACATTTCTTGGCCAGCATAAACCTTTCAACAAACACTGATTACAGTGCAAGTTCTTTCAACAAGCAAATCAAGTATTGAATACGGAATACGGAATACGGAAAAGATGACAAGAGGACCCACTGTTTTATTGAGAGAATAAGAGAGATAATAAGTTTGGAGCTCGGTAAAGAAATAAAGAAAGATGTTTCACGAGCGTGGGACAAAGAAAAAATTCTGGGTCTCCATGAGGAATCGAACCTCAGACCTTCGCAATCGGATTCCGCGCTCCGATGTCCTAACACTGAGCCACAGACTCTACAGTGAGCGAGGTTTATTACGAAGTTTATATGATACGCGTCCTGTGTATTGCTAGG